CTGTAACTTCCTTTTGTTTTTTTTTTTTTCTTTTGTTTACCGATTTAAATAACTGGAATCATGGGTAGGAGTTATCTATTGTTTGGATTACAGTAGCTATCTAAGCATGATTGTCTAATTAGTTTCATGGTGTAACACTTGCACAATTATTGTTGCACATATGTTGAACCCATTTCCCCTGGATGAAAAAAAAAATGCAGAAGAAAAAGAAAAATCCACTATCCCAAAGCAATGCAATTTAAATCACGCCTCATGATATTGTCGTTGTGACAGGTTGCTCGTAACCTGGGGAAAACTTTACGGGCATTCCAACCTACAATTAGAGAACTTCAGGTAGCTGTTTTTGACTTCGTAGGTTCAAAACACAGGTCGTTCCTGTGATTTTTGCAATGAGTTTAAATATGTTAAGCGCACCTGAATTTTCTTTTATAGGAAGTTTCAAGAGAATTTAAAAGCACACTTGAACGAGAAATTGGTCTTGATGAAACTGAAAATCCAGTGAGAAAGAGTCCATCATCAAATGCTAAATCCGAAGACTCAGAATTGAATGTTGACCCCAGTGAGTATATTTCTTGAAACAATTTTGCCCGTCTTCTTACTGTTCAACTTAGCCTTTAATTAATTCACCATCCAGTGATTTTTGTTGAATATCGTGAATTTACAAAGTATGAAGAAACAATTTGAAACATATTATTCAGAAAAGAAAAAAAAAACATTATCCAGTGATAGTTGGAAGATCGATAGGTGTAGTGTAATTTTGGAAATTCGAATCCCTGTTTCGTATTTTTTTAAGTTCCTGCTTCATATGCTCCTAAAAATGAAGTATATAGCGGTGTCTACCTTACTATGGATAAAAATGTAGGCATTTATTTCTTGTTTGGTAAGGTGGACAGTATTATAGACCATACTAAAGGTGAAAATGAAGTTAAAATATTTTACATTATACTGTTAATTCCATCCTGCCGTGTACTGTGTTCATAACACTATTTATTTTGTTTGGTAAAAACTCTCAGACATAGTTTGACAAAGCAGGTTTCGTGCCAGTATTTTCCAAATGTTTTTATGCATGGTAGTTCAAATTCGCGACTTCCTTTCGCTGTTAAATCCACGTTCAGATTCTTTGGAGCAGGAGTTTACGAACTTTTTTGTCTGGATAAATAAAGAAAGGATCTTGATGGGTTTCGTTTTGTCTTTCTTCTGAAATATCAGATGGTTCTCCCCCCGAACCCGAGGATCCCTTAGCAGTGCAACTGAGAAATACTCTTGCTCAGCTACAGAAAGAGCAATCTGAGGCCGAGTCTCAAGGTCGGTAAATATATTGCTTATAACGTTATGTTAGATTTTATAAAACTTTAAATCTCAAGAATTTGAAAACGTATTTACTTTATTCCTCCATGTTAAATCACTATGAGAATTATTAAATGCGGAACATACCTTAATTTATTGGGAATAATTTTTTAATACTTGATCTTAATTTCAAATCTTGAATCTTGATTATTCGCTCTTTTGGTTCTTGAGTTCTTTTTTTTTATTTCAGTTTTTTGCTCCATAATCTTGATTGTGTCAATTCCTTCCTCTCGATTGTTGATTTTCTGTTCTTGATTGTCGGTTTTGGATCTTGCTTTTCAATATGTTTTCATTTATATACTCGTGTTGATGGGATGACACAAAGAATGAGAATCACATATGAATTGGGACCATATTTATATTTCCGTATGCATTCAGTCATCGTCAAATACAATCCTAATAGATCTGATCTCTAAACATATAATCCAGCCCACAATTTATTTAGACGCATAAAGTCTAATTACTTAATTATTTATTAGATTACTTTAATTTTGGACTTAACTTTAAAATAACTTTTATACAAAATTAATTATATATGTTGGCTCACATGACAAATTAAATATTTTTCCAAGAGTTTACTCTCTCTCCCTTGTTCACTTTGGTACAACTTGTTTCAGATACTGCACAAGAAGTTGCTTCAAAAATACCTCCGACTGAAAGCCCCGAAAATAATGCTGTTGAAGAGGCTCCATCAGCAGTGGAACCCCCACCAGAGCCTGAAAATATTGCTGTTCAAGAAGTTGCATCAGCAGTAGTTCAGCCAGTGAAGCCCAAAAGCAATGAACTTCAAGAAGTTGCACCATCAGTAGCTCAGCCAGTGAAGCCCGAAAGCAATGAACTTCAAGAAGTTGCACCATCAGTAGCTCAGTCAGTGAAGCCTGAAATCAATGAACTTCAAGAAGTTGCTTCTGCAGTGGCTCCTCCTTCAAAGCCCGAAAACGAGACATGAAAGTTTGAATTTTTTTCTAAAGAGAAGAGTAAACCTAGTACTTGTCCATTTTGTTTTATCTAGTATTTGTGAAAGTCCCTCGGATGCCTGTCGACGAGTTCCATTTTGTCCTTGAAAAACCAATGCTAGAGATGAAGAGTAAATTACTCGGGCCAATGATCATTTTACTAGTTTTCAGGAGGAGGATTTGAAGCGCTCAAGGGTAGTATGGTAGAAGCTGAAACCTCATTTGAGATGGTACATTGTGATATTTAGATTTCGCATCAATTCATTTTACATTATTATTGTAACTCTTTATGGTTGTGCCCAAATTGAGAGCTTCTAAAATATTAATAAACTTGTTAGGATTGTGCTATAATTTAAGCGGTTTGATAACCAATAGAAATTGAATCGAAGTCAAAGCATTTTTTTAATCATTGATTTATAATTATTTATTTAGTCCTCGTTTGATTTTCTTTAAATTAAAATTTTTTATTTTTCATATTCGTTTTCAATAATATTTATCAGAAATGATCTAATGAATTTCTGAGTTCCAATCCATCAATGAATTAATGTGCCAACCCATTGGTGCTTAGGATAAGATGAGCACCGATGCTCATTAGATCATTTCTGTAATATTTATATAATAAAATATTTTGTAGGTAGACTCAAATATTTTCTTAGTTTCTAATTATACGTTCTTTTAAAAAATTACTATTTAAAATATTATTCTTTGGGAACACATGGAAGGTCCAATGTTAAAAACACACAAAACCCTCTCTCTCTCTCTCTCTCTCTCTCTCTCTCTCTCAATATCATCTCTGGATACATCTGTCTACAATGCTGTCTCGCTCTCCAAATCTAGATAATTTGATTGCTTTGAAAGATTTTGAAGGCATTCAAGGATTGCCCCTTCTAAGGGATATTGAAGATCTGTGTTATGAAAAGAACACCAGAAAATCCAGTAGAGCTGAAATAGAGCTCCAGAAACAGGAGGAAGTTGCCAATTCGCGTGTCAGACAAGCAGACGATAAGGGAAGGGCTTATGGATCAGGAAGGAGAAAATGCAGCATAGCCTGTGTCTGGATTCAACCTGGTGAGGGTAAATTTGAAGTAAATGACAAAGAGTTTGACGTGTATTTCCCCATTCTTGATTACCGTGCTGCTCTTCTCGGCCTTAAACTGAAACTAAGTCTTTGGGTATTTGGGATGTCAATTGTACTGTTAAAGGAGTCGGCGTATTAGGTGAGAATTGATTGTATCTTCACATCGATGATTGCTCCATTGCATGCTTCTTCAGTTGGACTGTTGAATCATAAAATTTTCCATGTAGTATGGGATTAGTTTGGATCTCGGCTAGACCAGGAGAAAATAAATACAAGTTTGTGTGTGTGCTGGCCGAAATGTCTCCCTCTGCCTAGGGCTGTGGCCACCATTAAGGGCTTAAATAGGCCCATTGTGTATGAATACCCTGGCTGATTCTGACATGCAGCCCTGATTTGAAAAATTACCATACCATCCTTTAAGCGATGGTGAATTACATGCTAATGAGAAAGCTCAAAAACCCAATTTAGTTGGCAACTCGTTCTTTTATGTTTCCAGTTATCTATCTTGATTGTATGCTTCTTGTAGTGTACATAATTTGGTAACATAAATTTGCATTCAACAGGTCAAGTCGGAGCCATCCGTTTGGGCATCAGCAGAGCGTTGCAAAACTGGGAACCAGGCCTACGACGTCGTCTCAGAGACATGAATTTATAATCACATATATGTCTCCGTGGTTATAGTCAAATGACTTGTATGTCTAGAAAATTAGTATTACGTTCTTTATGTAAAAACTTAATTGATAGTGCTACTTGTCTCTATGTGCTGGACATATGTTGTTACACGTTACAATAAATGAGATTTTTATTTAAATTTCTTGTTAATGTTGTATGATGATCAATTGAAACAAGTTATTATGCAAGGTCTTCATCGTTTGAGCGGGGGACTGGAAATAGGTCAGTGCATTGAAGATTAAATAGAGATTAATAGATAATCATAAATAAATTTTAGGGATAATTGCAGCTGAGGTCCCAAACCTTTCAAATAGCAACAGACTTTCTCATAACCTTTCAATCATTGCAGCTGTCACCCCAAACCTTTCAAATCGTAATAGTTGAAACCCTAATGGACAGTTTCCAGCCAATCAATCGTTAGTCGACCCAAAAAAATGAATTTTGACCACATTTTAATCAATTTGAAAAGGGTAAAATAGTAACTTCTACCCATTTGTTTCTCATTTTTCATCCAAAAAAATGAAAATTATAACTGTTATCCATTACATCAAACCATCAATTTTGAATTTCCATATCTTGTATGGAGCCCAATAACGACTATATTTTTCATTCTACAATAATAAGAATCAAACAGACCCTTAATATTTTTTTTCCATAAAATAATTAAAAACTTAAATCAAAAACCAAAAAAAAAAAGGAAAAATTATCTTCTTCATAAACCCCCAACCCCCTCAACCTAAAATCAAAAATTTGCCACCAATCGCCATCGCCTCACTGGGATGAAGACCCATCTTGATTAGCTCCTCAGCATNAAAAAATCTCTACCAAACAAGCTCACTTGGTACATGCCCCAGGAGAAGGTGCTAAACGCTGCAAGGGAAATGGCCATGGTGCTAGGGCCCTTGCTGGGGATCGGACATGCTAATTGGACCGGACTGGAGTGAACCCACACGACGGTGGGCCGTCTTGAAGTACCGGCATGTCCTTAATGCTTGCCATCTCTACCTTCTTCCAAATCACTGCCTCGTCATTTTTCTGTAATCAAATGATCCGAAGAATACTGCGAGTATTTTACAAATTATGGATTAGATTGGATAGAAATGGGAAATTTATTTGTGTCAACTATCAATTTACGAGTCGGTGGAAAATTTTTAGTTTTGGGTTAAGAGGGTTGGGATGGGTGAGGTGGGGTTGATGAAGAAGATAGTTTTTCCTTTTTTTTATTTTTTTTTATTTTATGGAAAAAATATTAAGTTCTTATTTTGCCCTTTTAAAATTGATTAATATGTAGTCAAAATTAATTGTTTGGGTCAATTAACGACATATTGGATGAAAATCGTCCATTGGGGCCTCCGCTGTTATGATTTGAAAGGTTTAGAGTGACAACTGCAAAGACTGAAAAGTTAGGAGATAGTCTGCCACTGTTTGAAATATTTGAGGCATCAGCTCCAATTATCCCATAAATTTATGGTTATATTTTTCCTCATTGCTTATAAACATATCATATAGGTGTGTAGTTTTTGTTCATATTCTTGTAATTAACATTGAAGAAGGATGGATACCATGAACTCGATTTATCTAAATTTTACATGTAGAATTGTCCAACAGAGCTTATTTTCACCATTGGAGGATAAAATTGTACTCCGATGTGGTCTATTTAAATATTTGTACAACTGCTATTCTTATCTACAATATAATACAAAAAAAATAGAGGTATTTCACCATTAGTATCTACAAATAGGGGGAAAATTAAATATTCAAATTCTTTTAAGAACTTATACTATTTTTTAAACTTAACCAAGCGTTTTTCAATATTTGTGTCTTAACAAAATAAAGAAAATATGCTCGCAAATTATTTGGACTTAGGATTCTTTCAAATAATGCGTGAAAAAAACAATAAAATGTTTATTAATGTGAAAATATAAGAGAATACTTAAATTATTTTTACTTTTTAGCAAGACATTAAAATATACGGTGTTGAAGAATAATTTTCTAATCCTCATGGGGTGATTTGTTTAATAACTTAAATTCTAGGACTATGTTGCTAATTATTCTACTCTCGCCTCCATAAACCCTAGACTTGTAATTTCTATATAAATATTTCTCCCCTGTTACCACGCCCCTCGTTCTAAACCTCCCAAAACCCTAGCATCTGCACAAGCACAAACAAACGCTCACTCAGTAGACATGGTTGCAGGAACTCCAACCAGAGGTATGTATCTGCATATACATACATGTATTATCTATATATGAGAATATTTTGTGTTCAGTTAATTGATTTTACTTTTGCAGGGCGCGGTGGCGGTGGGGGTTTTAGGGGAGGCAGGGGAGATGGAGGAGGGAGAGGCGGAAGAGGAGGCAGGGGTGGTTTTGGTGGAAGAGGCGGTGGCGACAGTGGAATGAAGAGAGGCGGTGGTAGAAGTGGCGGAAGAGGCGGAAGGGGAGGAAGAGGTGGAAGAGGGGGAGGGATGAGGGGAGGGAGTAAGGTTATAGTTGAGCCACATCGGCATGAGGGTGTTTTTATTGGTAAAGGAAAAGAGGATGCGCTTTGCACCAAGAATATGGTTCCTGGTGAAGCTGTTTACAACGAGAAGAGAATCTCTGTTCAGGTTTGGATTTGAGTTTTCGTATATGGCCGGTTATTATTCTATGTATTCATGTTACTCTGTTTATGACAGTTTCTGATTTAGTTTGATCAGTTTGATGACTGAAGATGAGATTTTAATTGAATATTTGTGTATGGTTTTTAGGATAATATGTTACTATAGGTTCATGATTCTATTTGAAGCATGTTGTTATGGATAAATGTCTGATAAATCAATTTCATTGGCTGATGAGTGTGTGTTAATTCCAATGGTTCCTCCCCTATCATATTGTCAAACGTCCTTGTTTTGAGCATATTTGGCTAAGCTTAAGTTTGCTTATAATAAACACATTTTTTATTGGTCAAGGTTGTAACATGTTTTATTTAAAAGTAAGAAAAGGTAAACATGTTTGTGAATAATTTACATTTTTTAAGCCTGGCCAATATTGCTTCTCGTGTTGAATTAGGTAGCCTTTGTATTTGGTATTGGCTTTTTATTTAGTTAAATGCATCCTGCTGTTTCTGTTTTTCTAGTGTTGATTTATGTATTTTATTGAATCGGTCAGAATGAAGATGGAACAAAGGTTGAATACAGAGTATGGAATCCTTTCCGCTCCAAATTGGCAGCTGCCATTCTTGGTGGAGTCGATGACATTTGGATTGTAAGTTTGTGATTTTTGCTATTCCAATATTTTATTTATATCTGTTGCCCTGATAAGATGCTCGTGTTTTTTATTAATGTTGATGCATTTTATATGACCAATAATCTTATCTGCACAATTCATTTTCTGGTATGTTTATTGGTTTAGAAACCTGGTGCTCGTGTCCTTTATCTTGGAGCTGCTTCAGGAACAACTGTTTCTCATGTATCTGATCTTGTTGGCCCTGTAAGCAATTTTCCTTGTGTGAGCTATTTCATTTCTCAATATATTTCATGGAGTGGTGCTTATGAAATCCTGTTTGTAATTACGTTGTTGGCAGACTGGAGTGGTGTATGCAGTGGAATTTTCTCACAGAAGTGGTAGGGACTTGGTGAACATGGCGAAGAAGAGGACTAATGTTATTCCCATCATTGAAGATGCAAGACATCCAGCAAAATACAGAATGCTTGTTGGCATGGTGGACGTGATTTTTTCTGATGTTGCTCAGCCTGATCAGGTTTGCTTTCTAGCAGCTTGTGGATTGCGTATTTTCTCTTGATAGGAAATACAGGAAAAATTTTGTGGTGCTAAGGGGGACAGTGATTTTGTTCTTCTTGGATGAGCTTGTGGAATGTTTTCTTAATCTATTCTTTTATCCTTGCAGGCGAGAATTTTAGCACTGAACGCCTCGTACTTTTTGAAAGCCGGAGGCCATTTTGTGATATCAATAAAGGTTTCTGTTATTGATTCTGCATATATCTTTTAGTATGAGCGTTTTCAGTTGCAATTGCCCTGTTTCTCTTATCATTGATGTTCACAATGAATTTTTAGTAAACTTGACTACCTTTTTCATAGATTAAGAGAAATAAATTTTATGTAATATTCCTCGCATTTCATCCCTGCCCAGGTCGTTAGTGGTATTTAACCCATATGTGTGCAGAAAAAATTGAATGCTTAGTTATCTGAATATTGTGTGAAACTCTTCCTTGAATCTGTCTAGGCAAACTGCATAGATTCGACTGTCCCTGCAGAGGCTGTATTTGCCCAGGAAGTGAAGAAGTTGCAAGCAGATCAGTTCAAACCCAGTGAGCAGGTTACTCTCGAGCCTTTTGAGCGAGACCACGCATGCGTTGTTGGGGCCTATCGAGTCCCGAAGAAACAAAAGGCTGCTGCCTAAACATTGTGGCCTCGATCCTCCGTCTCTCTCAAACCCTGTAGGCATTGGACTGTGTTGTGTTGTGTTGTGTTGTGAAGACTGCCTTGTTTAATCGGTTTCTCATATGTAAACATCACCACCAAGGAAATTTTTGTCACATAAACTTGCTAGTTGCTTTCTGTTTAGATCTATAATGAAGTCTCAGTTTTCAATTTCGAACTCAATTATTTCTGTTCATGAATGATTTTTAGTTTGTAGCTTCAAGTTTAATATGTTTTTTAGTGCCTGTTTAACACCCATTAATTTTTTATGGTCTGATATAGGATCATTTCAATCATACATTTGCACAATAAAATATTTTACACGTATATAAGAAAAATTTCTCTATTTTTTAATCACAAATTCATCTAAAAATTATTATTATTAGCAAATAATAGTTGTCAAATAGGCTCTTAATGTTATTATGTCATTGTTTAGTGAGGATCATAATCAGATTTTTAGTAGATTTTGATAAAAGTTGATAAGATATGTGGTTGAAAAATTGTGATTAAAATTAATTGTTAATTTAAATAATAACTCGGACCAAATATGGGCTGAAATTGAAACGAGGCCGGTTTGGCCAGGAAAAGTGGAAATAGCAGTTGTTAATGATAATCATGGGCACGGATCTAAGAGATGGAATCATCACGGGATCTACTGAACTTAATTAAAGATCCTCCATCAGATGTATGTCTATTACACTATAAAATCTTTCAAACTCGATCAAATGATTTAATAAAGTTGGAATTTTTGTTTCATTAAGGAATTGGATTCTATTAAAATTTCAATTGATATAAAAAAATTTAGAAATTTATTGCGTAACAGAAATGAGCTTTATTTAATTGTACGTTCATTTATAAGAATTTTGCCGACGTTGTATGGAAATGTTAGAAAGAGAAATTAATTGACAAAGATTTAAGAGTTTTGCCGTGGGCCCCGTCTCTCCGGGGCACGATAGACGCCCAACTAATAGGGGAGCATGTTTGTCCAGGGCCTGGTCCTGGACGAATAGTAAAACTCAAGATTTAAACGTTATTATTACGAGAATGTAATATAATTTATTTAAAATTAGTGTAATGTAATTAACTTGTTTGATGATCATTATTTGGCAAAAACAAAGTTTTGAACAGTAAATTTTTAGAAAACGCATGGTTAAAAAGTAAAAAAAAATTTGAATTTAAGTACAGAATAATTCATTATATGAATGTGTAATTGAAAATGTGTATGTAGAATAAATAGTTTTGAAATAATGGTTGTCAAACAACCCGCAAATGGGAGTGGGGCCCGCGATTGTGGATCTCACTCTCATGTGAGGGAGCTGTCAAAAAAAAAAAACTGTCAATTAAAGCTGTAATTGTAGCATGGTTCAATATAAAATATCTTTTTAACTTTTTTGGAAAGTATTTAATATGTAAAGAGTTATTTTGGAAATACTCAAACTAGCTAGCAACTGCCATGCCAATTAGCCGCGTCCCCCCCCCATCTCCGAACTTAGTCATCAATTCATCACACGAGTTTAATAAATGATAAATCTATTTGTACAATATTTTTTTAGGTGGCAAAAAAATATTGGTTGAAAAGATAAATTAATTTTTAAACTGTTCAAATGTTGCCCACCAAACACGATTGTTTAATAATAATAATAACTAAAAGAATTCATAAACCACTGTTCTCGCGTTTCTTTAGAATTTAATGCCCAAATAGTTCTTAGTGGCACAAGTGCGAAGGTTACTCTTTTTCATTATCTCTTGAGTTGTTGGATATTTGCATCCCTTGTTTCTTTCAATATCTCTTCTTCTGATTCTAATTCTTTCCCAATGAAGCATTTCGTTCTCATTTTTATTTGTATGTATTTGCTATTGTTTATTGGGCTTATAGATTGAACGAACTTAAACATCAATGATTTGACCAATACGACTTTGTATTTCTATTCGAAATGTTTATTACAGAATATCACCATGTGGAAGTGCTATTCTCATTGCTGAGAATGTATCTTGTTTAGCATGAATTGTAGGCCTTGTTCGTTGATATTAACTTTCAATTACACAATTTCTTATCCAAGTAAAAACGAACAATTTTAACCAAAATAATGGAGAAGGGGAAAGGAGAGAGAAGAGAAAGGGGAGAAGAAATAGAAGGGGAAAATGAAAGGTGAGAGGAATCGGACAGACGAGAGAGAAGCAAAAATTAGAGGGAGGAAATATGTCCGTACTCATTAATCAAGTATGCGAAATAAAGTGCATAAGCTCCCTTTATGTAGGGTTTTAATTAATCTAATATACTAGGAAACAACTAAAGAAATACATGAGGTAGTAGAAATCCCATAAAATAAAATCCTACTACTTTTCCTAAAATAAGTACATAAATGGGAAAGTTTTCCATATGATATATCTAATAGGATCTTCAAAAATTTATATCAGAATGAATGGCAATATAACCATCACATTTTGCCTTTTTTAAATGATAAAACTTTTGCTTGCAAATGGTCTGAATAACATATACAGAATTATTTTGAGGTCTTTCCAGTTTGATTACTCAAATATCTTGCTTGTAAAGCCACTAGAGTGTAAATTTGCCAAAATTGAATCAAATTGTGTGAGGTTCTGCGACTGTGGGCAAGCTTTGGAGTTTTAAATCTGTAGTACATATTCTGTGTTTAAGTTGCCATAATATTTGCTTGTATTGAGGTGTCATAGTTGATTCATATTTTGTTTATGTTTTCCTCTATATAGATTAAATCATTTATCTGGCTTCAAACTATTGATGGTTCGATCCAACAAGTGGAGAAGGGGTTGCAATGTTTTGCCCTGGCCCCTGTGATATGTCAGGAAGTGCTACGAACAGGCATGGGACCTCCAGAAATTATGCCATCTCCCTTCCTCGACGAGTTAATGCTTCTGTGTTGGGTTTTATACTTGACTATTGTCGATTTCACCAAGTACCAGGTCGATCCAACAAGGTCTGAAACCTTCTCATTCTTGGGGTGAATAAAAACACGCCACCCCATCTCCCAATCCCGTGGTCAACCCAGGGATGGGATCTTCTCATTGTCTTCATATTGTTTTCTAAGTCTGCACTATTTTCAACAAAATTTAGTTGATATAATTTGGACTTCGGCTGGTACTTTCTCCCTGTCTGCAACCAAGCAGGATCAGCTGATTTACACCATTTGTCTTGCAATACAGAAAAGATATGCTTTATATGCTTATTATTGAAGCAAGTGTTTCTTCAATATAAAAGTTCCTGGTTAGTGAAGAATTGAGTTTGATTCTTCTGTATATCTAGGAAAGGAAAACATTTGATGAGAAGTTTGTCCGGTTAGATACGAAGAAACTATGCAAGTGACGTCTGCTGACGATAGCCTCCAACTGGGGCCTTTGGTTGATCTGACCAGTCGTGCACTTTGCCCTGATGATTTAAGGAAAAACTCCTGAGGAAATACAAGAAACCTTTCATTTACCTAATGATCTGACAGAGGTACCAGTTGCTAGAAGATGAAAATTTTATAGCCCTCGCCCTCTTTCTGCATCTGATACTGGTATGATTTTTATATTGCAGGAGGAGAATTTGGAACCCTTGAGAAATATAACTGATGATCCACGTATCAGACTTCTGAATCGATTATATGCTAGAACAAGGAAAGAATTAAAAGATAGACAGAATCTAACGGTTCTTGGATCTCTGTTCTTGTTTCTAGCCTTTGCTGCTATTGGATTATAGTATGTGCAGTACTAGGCTGTTGTATTGCAACTTGAATTGCCGAAATCAATTTAACTACTGATAGCATAGTAACATGTTTCTTAACTGTAATGTGCATTTTTTGTTCTAATAAAATGAATTTTCGTATCTTTTAGAATATTGAGGTTGAAGAAAAGCAATGTGTGGATGAACGCTCAGTTGATGATCTTTTGTCATTTGTCAATGGTGAAATTAGAGGTATTGATAATTGGCAATCCATTCTGTTTGATGAAGACTTCCTTTTTGCATGTCACACAATCAACATTTTTAAATCCTTTATGGTGTTTACATCTCCTCGATGAATTCATAAGTGGTCAGTTGAAGTTTCAAGTTCTTGAACTTTCAAATGGTTTAATTTATGTTTTGGCTTCAGTATTTGCTGTATTAATTTCCTTCCTGATCTGTAAGTAACACTCACACTCGCTCACACACGCATTCACATTCCCTTAGTTATCCTAAGGAGAACTTTTATCCTTGGATAAGCTTACTGTCCATGAGCAAATAGTTTCTCTTCTGGCTGCATCAATAATGACAGTAACAATGTTTCAACGCCCAGTAAAACTACAGTGTCTATCTGTTATATGTTCACCAAGCTCGGCTTCAACGAGTGTGAAATAGACGATGAGTTAGATCCTGCTATGAAAGAACAACTTGGCAGGTGTGATGGTTGTGACATATTTATCTTCAAGTTCCATGATGTTTGTACAAATTTTAAATTATTCTACAAAACTGCATTTTCTTTCTGCTTTTTTAAAGCAGTGACAACTAGTTTGGTCATTCAATAACAGTCATTTATACTCGCGATTGAATAGAATCATAATCCCCCTAGGTGGGGGCTGTGAATCTATTCTTGTTTTCTATGGTGTTTTATGCCATCTTTATTAGTATGATAATTTTGTTGTGAGTGAACAAATCACAGGGTTTATTTTTGGAGGTGAAATATTATGGAGTAAAAACTATTTCTTCCGACCCCCACCCCTAGTTGACCCTCAAATCTTCATCCATGTGAATCCTGGCATACCCTTTTCATTTTTCATCTAATGCCTGCTCTCAATTTCTATTCCCCTGAATATCCGTGCAGTGGATAAACTGAAATTATATTGTCAGCTCTTGATCTAGAACTAAAGGAGGAGGAATACCGAGCTAGTTGGGGTGTGGGTGCCCATTAAAGATTCAAATGGATGACGTGAAAGTTGGAAGAGTTTAATACATACTGAAGCATCAGGAATCCTACGTGGGACAGAAGGTTGGATTAGTTGGAAAGTTAGGAACATCATTAATGTAAAATGTGTGCCTGAAATGAGGATGTTAAGAACAATGATTTTAGAGAGCGGGTTAAGAGTCGTGATTTGGTTAGGGCAGTACCAACTGGTCAAGAAAGAAGGCTAGTACCAGTAGCTATTAATGGCAATGGATCTCTCCAGAGATTTACAGGTAAGCTGAATTTATTAGGATTATTCTACTTGTACATCAAGAGTTACATAATATAAAAGTGGCCTTGTGTAATTGGTTGGCTAAAATTGTTTAATTTCCACTAACTAATTACATAATGCCACTTCTACATTATGTAACTCTTGATGTAATCATTGATGTACATGTAGCAAAGCACAATTTATTAAGTAAATCAATCCTGCGGTGTAATGGTCTCATAACTAAAATTTTGCTTACCATTTCACCACAGAAAACTAGTTTTTTCCCTGACCAATACTCTACCCTTCATGAGGGAAAGGGAAACAAGGAAATTAAATCAATAGGTATCAAGTATTGGCGAAAGAACGTGTGTTTCTAAGCTTAAATAGTTTACTTGTAATTAAATAAGTTCAAAAATGAATGATATTTTTTATTGATAAAAATTGAAAATAAGTTGCTTATTTTGACAGGAAACCAAGAGTTACTTCTAAAATAAGTGAAGGTAAGTGTTATTTTTAAGCTTATTAGCCAAACATGAGTACTGTTTTAACACTTGCACTGTGCTGGGGTCTGCAGAACAAGATAACTTCGTTAGAAGTCATCTAATAGAAAATATGATTTATTTGAGCAGGTTTGGACAAGAGATGATGGTGATTAGCAGCAGTTCTCTTGTTTCTTTTTCAGTTGATGATTTTGCTGAATGTAGAGATTGATGTTGTTGCTCTTAATTGTGATATAGGATTATGGCAACATTTTCGTGTATTCGACACGCAAATGTTTGGCGATCTCGAATTCGAGCTTGGGCCATCTCGTTTGTTGGAAATCTAGGTGAAACATTGGAGAAGCAAAGGTGATTAGAAAGAATATATACATAGTATTGTCCGTACCGTAATGCCGTTTCGATGACCGAAGAATTCAGGATACCCTTTAACGCTTATTTGTTCGTGTACAAAGGATGAGAAAACAAAATGTTCTTGCCACTACAAAAGCATGCCCAAAAGTACAAAACCTTAATTTTATTAATCGAGAAAATAAAACATACATCTTAAATCCTAGATTCAACAAACCTTTACTAGATTACAAAACTAAATGAACAAAATCNCAAACCTTTACTAGATTACAAAACTAAATGAACAAAATCATATCTTGATCAAAATAAATCCACAAAATTCAGTCCTTAATCTTCTTGTAAGAGTAATATCTCTTGAAAGCCTTTGGCAGAAAGACAGGCAACAAGAATCCAAATAGGTTGAAACACCAAAAAGCCATATTTGCAATGGCAAGTGCTCTTCCAATGTACAATCTCCTGCTGCTGCCACCATATTCTGCTTCCACTTTATAAATTTCACTCCTCAACCACTCAACAATGGTGAAAATCCTCCTCGAATTGTAAAAAACAGGGACGAAAACACGAATAGGTAACGAAAAGTTACCTGAAAAGGACAGCCCTTCCATGAAAATTTGACTAGATAAAAGAAAAACATGGGGTGCTGCCGCATTGATCCCCTCCTTATCTCCTTCAAAAAAACCCTCCAAAATGTATGCTATGGGCACAAATAATCCGATTACAGCCCCAAAAAACACGTAAATACTAAGGATTTTGTTAGTTTCTCCGAATACTGGGGGATCAGCATGGGGTGATGTGGCTGGAAATGCAGTTTTTAATATGAAATACACGTAGATTATTGAGAAGATTACAAAAGCAAAGTCCTCAATGCTTACCATGCCACTTGCAGAGAGTACGATGATTACTGCCAGTGCATTTAACTGTTGGAAAGTGAATAAACCTCGGCGAGTTTGAGGATTTTTTGTGGGCTTTAAGGCTGCTGTCTTGGTGATGTCTGGTTCTTGAATTTGTTCTTTAGGGAGACCTATATCGATTGATGGACCAACCCCACCTGACATTTTTGTGTATTCTAAACAGTGAGTATGCGTGTGTGTTTCTCGAATCAATTGTTGTTTGTAAGTATGAAATTATTTGCAGATCAAGAAAGGTTATGTTTTTCTTAATCTGTGGTGAGGAAAATTGGGAGGAATTTAGAGAGAGGAGGGTTTTCAGGGAGAAGTTAGAGAGGGAGACGTTTGTGGTTGGTTTGTGAGATGAGGAGGTTAAGAGTCAAGTCTTTAAACAAGTGGCACTCGAGTTTGGCTAATTATTTTGAAAGGGAAGCAAAAAAGTTATGAAAGTTGAATTGAAGTTTCTTATTTTGAAACTTTTCTTATTTGCACTTCCAACTCATTTGAATATAAAATATTAATATTTTGTATTATGATTTTATTATTTTGAGATCTGTGTTCATATATTATCCATATCATCATCCCGTCGAGTTTGATATTTTGACTGTGTTGCTATGATAAATATCAACTATATTTTGGAATAAAATGACCCTTAATGGAGGAAATGTTTCATCTTTCTAGTTTAAATTGGTAAATGATGCTGCTATTTTTCATTCTCTATCGAGCTCGATCCTCAAGAATTTTCCTCTATTATTTTGCAAAAGCATCAAATTAAATGATATACAGGTTAAGTTCTAAAAGACATATATTGATTTATGAGTTATATATCATTGAGCTTTTCAAATGTTCCTAAATTGCTATTAAATTTTTGAACTTTTCTAAATGTTATCTAGTTGTTATTTTACTTTAAAAGTTCTCGAAGTTGCCATTGAACTTGCTAAAACATTATCTCATCTCTCTCTATTTATCACTCATCATTTTGGTCACATTAAATTTTTCGTTCTTATTTTTCTATTCATTTTTAATCACACATTTTTCAATAAAATAATATTTTACATCACATCAATAACTTTTCCTTCTTTTTCAACTACGCATTCTCCATCAATCTACTATTCCAAAATACATTCTTCCAATATTATTTAGCCCCTATTTGTCATCCATTTTATCAAACATTATTTGTTATAATAAACAATCTCCACCATATATTCATTCAATAAAATATTCTACACACAAACCAATAAAATTAATTTACTTTTCAACCACACAATTTCCAAAATATACTATTCAAAACTCTATTTCTTCTCTCAAAATGGAAGACAAACAAGCTTTTAGTTCGTTGAAACATTGAGTGACAGAATGGCAGATATGATGACATCTTGGTGAGTTCAATAACAACTTCTAAATTCAATGGCAACTGAGTAATACTAACAATTAGGAAATATTCACAAAAAATAATAAAAAACTAAAATAAGTAGCAATAGAGACATTTTTCCCTTAAAGGTTTAGCCAAGCGGGAAAAACATAACAGTGAAAGAGTCGTCATAAAAAGGTAAAGATAATGATTATCATATTAAGATGGTGAGAGTTCATTACGGCAGTAAATGTCATCCTTTCTGTAATAATTGTGAACTTAGATTGAATCATGTATTCCCACATAATCTGGCAAAACGTCTTGAGTATGATAAAAAGCAAATTGGAGATATGAAGTAACAGTACAACACCAACTTATTACAGAGATATATAATAAGAAAAAGAAAAACCCCTTTCCAAAATGCTCAAGCAACTCAAGGGTGGACAATGATATAATCTAATTTCCCCTTCAGGAAAAAGAGAAAAAAACAAAGAATCTGCTCGTTGAAAAAATTCCCTTCAATTTTCGGACAGAAGTGCACACGTAAAACTGGAACCTCTGCTATGGATATTGTAATGGCAATGCTTTAAACTGCACAAACAAGGTACAAAGAACCTACTACTCCCCTCTAACCTAGGCAGCAGCCTTTTGTTTTGGAATGTACTTTACCTTCAAACTCTTTTCTGGCTTTGTTCTAACCGTAACTTGAACATTTCCGCTGGTTGACGAAAAGGGCAGATTCTCGGCATTTCTGAGAACGCTGCGCTCATTAACATCTGATCCCAGAGCCGTCATTGAATAGTCATCTTGGACATCAGAGCAGCTGGGAGATTCCTGCTCTGGGGAAAGGACCAATCTCACATGTTCTGCTGAGATAGCTTCCTTCCATCCTGCATCAATCAAAACCAACAGAAATTATTGAAGTTTATCGAGTATAAGAGATGAATGGAGCATGTTTGGCTAAGCTTAAGAAAAAGTCATATTTCCAAACACATTTGGACTTGTTATTTTTTTCATTACTTTTTAGTTAAAATAGTTACTTATTGTCAAAGCAACTCTTAGCTTCCCGTCAAAATAAATTACTTATTTTTAACTTCAACCAGTCGAGAATATTTATTTTAAACTTAAGTAAACTATTTAAGCTTAGCGAAGATTGCTGTAAACCGTAAAGTTGGAGACCAAAAGGACAGTTATAAACGTACTCTGTGCAAGAAACTCTTTTGCATCAATCCTGGAAAAAACGGAAGCTCCTGGCTGAGCATCTGAAAGCACGTGGCTGTGCTTCCCACTATTACCATGATCTTTGTCCTCCATGGAACATGATTGTACACATTTTTCACTGGATACAGTTCGATCAAAAACCTTTTCCAACAAAAGCTTGTCTTCAGAATCTATGTTGCCACTTTGGACTAGCAACGGACCTCCAGTTTCGTGCCGATTCACAGGCCTCCAAAGCGTGGCAGCCACTCCGTTCATGCCAAACTGACCGGCATCAGATTTAATTGGCTTTTCAGAAATACCATTCTTAATCATGGTATCACTTGCTTTATCCGGATGAGCATCCTGTTTCTGAGTGAGAGAATTTCTCAGTGTGACGGAAATAGAACCGATCATCACCTCACAACTACTCACTTCTGTTTGGTTATCGGACTCTCTCTGCACTCTGTGTCTCCAGTTCTCCCCTTCACTTTCTGCTTTACATTTCTTGGTCCAAATTTTGCTGCCGTTAAGTAGAGTCCCCTGGTCTCTCGAAGGACCAAGCTTTTGCATAGGTTCGGGTTTTGAAGCTTGAAGATTTTGACTCACGTGAATGCCATTTTGTCCACACCTTTGAGAATTTGGCATTTGCCAACGATTGGTCACTAGATGCCGATGGACATTTGCTGCCATCATCTGGGGTTCAATTGTCTGGGAATTGCCCTGGTCAATATGTTCACTGCCAAAATCAATCCGAGCTTCAATATCTTCACCTATTTCTTCGCTAGGAAACTGTATGGGTTCAGGGAGGAAGGCAATGTTTTCTGGCAAACTTGGAGAATTTGGACTGAAATCAGATGGAGATAGAGGGCTAGAGGTTTCAGCCGAATGTGGCTGCACTGGCGCATCTATATTTATATTCAACTCCGCCTTGCACTCGTTCAATTGCTCCCTTGCCCTTTGTTCCTTCTGACGAAGCTTTTTCTGTTTTTTCCTCTCCAACAGTTCAGCTTGCCTAAAAAAATGATAGCAATAATAAGAGGCACTTCGATTTCCAATAGATTAAGCAAGGAAATATACTGTAACATGAACAGTTTCAAAACCTACACCCGAGTGGTTTAGAAATTAATTAGTCCACCCAAGTGGCAAAATCTACTATGTGAATTGACAGCAAAAAGAACACATCATTGAACGTACTTTTCATAAACAAAAACATAACCGCAATAAAAGATGTTACTTCCAAGAAAAAATACGAATGACATTAAGCATTTATTATATAATGCAACATCACTGTGGAGTTCCATATATCGACAAATAGCATGTACCTTTTCTGTGCAGCTTCTTCCTCCGCCACAAGCAGTTTCTGACATCTTAAAGCCTCTGCATCTTTGTCAGCAACCCATGCTTTCACCTGATCACATAAGCATAACAACTTAAAGGGGTGCATTTTGATAAGTTTCCAGAAGGACAAGAGGTGTGCTGAGAGGTCAGTGAACCAAAAAAGCATATTAGAATATTCCTCCTATTGGTTCACATCCTACTGTACAGCAGCAGCATATATAACAACAAACTATGCCTTAGTCCCAAGAAATATTGAGGTTGGCTATACATGAATCTTTTCAGCCTGTAGGTGGCCCTTTATGAAGAAAACTTTCTAAATCATATGCAAGTTTAGAGTTGTGTGTACACATAGCATACAAAGGCTGGCAGCTCAAACTAAATAAACAAGCCACGAAATAAACAGGGGCAATTGTGATAAAACAATACCAGCTGATAAAATTATTGAAAGTTTTTCAAGGAGAAGATAAAGAAGTAATATGTGCAATATAGGTTCAAATTCTTCTCAAAATATTTCTCTCTTTTAATGAATGATTGTAATAAATTAAGCACTGTGAGATAAATGTGAAATTTTGATGAATATGATGATTTTACAAATTTGATCCAATCAATCAAAATTTTCAATATGAAAAAGTAGAAGAAATATGTGTAATGTAAGTTCAAAGATCTTCTTTGAAATATATCTTTCTTTTATGAATAATAGAAATAAGTTAAATACAAAAAGATAGATGAAAAACTTTAATGAAGATGATGATTAAAGATGTTGAATCAATCAAAATTTTTGATATGAAGAAATAAATTAAATGAATATAAATATAAGCTCGAGTAAATCTCTCAAAACATTTATCAATTTGATGCTCTTAAAAATCTCAAAAAGAATGGAAAGAGTGAAAGTATTTATAGCAATCAAAACGTCAAAATTTCTGACCAACCAGACAACCAATCCGGACGTCCGCATTTTGAACCGGACAACCAAACTAGAGTTCTACGTCAAATATCAAAATGGTTAAAATTGACCGTTAGGCGAACCAAATGTCCACCTGGTCAATTGGACGTTCACTTTGACTTTTTTTTTTTTTGTATTTTTCCTTTTTCATTGGTTTGAAAAATGTAGGCTTTTGAAGTATATTTTCACTTTAATTTTAAAGGTAATTAACATCGTAAAATGTTTAAACATCAAGTTGAAATACTTACACTTTTTTAAGAATATTTTTTTATGCAAGTGTTTGAATGAAATAATCTTTTTGTGAATAAAACGATTTTTGAGCTTTTATCATTTATT